CTGCTGCATTTAAAACCGCAACCCCTAACCCCCTTTCTTCTTTCCCTTGTTTTCTTCTTTCCATCTCCCCAAACCAACCCGAAAATTCCCAAAACAGAAAAAAGAAAAAATCCACCATTCAACCCTCACGTAATCAAGAGAAATTGGAGGGCTTCTTCTTCAATTTTCTCGGATCTTTGCTTTCTTCCACCTCTACACATTTCCAAGGTATAATTTCTATCTTGATCTTGTAATTTCCTTATGTGAATGGGTTCATGGATGATTTGGTGATTAAATCACGAATAGTTTTGGATTATTATCATAGTTTGGTATTGATTCATGATAAAAAAAATTGATCAATTCGACAAATTGAGGGTACAATTGGGGATTTTGTCCAAAAATCTAAAATTTGGGGGGGGCGGTTTATACAAAATCCAAAAAATTCTTGGGGAGTTTTGTGCAATAACACAAAAAAATTGAACTTGGAATTCAATTGAGGATATCTTGTACAAAAATCTGAACATTTAATTGAGGGTTTTATGCAAAACCGAAAAAATTTAGGGTGTTTTATGCAAATCCCAAAATTTTTGAACATTTAATTGGGTAAGTGATTTCAAATTAAGAATATGAATTCAATTGAGGATATCTTGTACAAAAATCTGAACATTTAATTGAGGGTTTTATGCAAAACCGAAAAAATTTAGGGTGTTTTATGCAAATCCCAAAATTTTTGAACATTTAATTGGGTAAGTGATTTCAAATTAAGAATATGACCATCCCCCCAAAATCCCTACCCCTCTCTCATCTCTCCCGCCCAGATCGCGCCATCACCTCCCGCCTCCTCCTCTCCAGCGCCCGAAATCGCCGCCGGAGCTCGCCGCCCCCGATCAGCGTCGCCGCCGGCTCAAGATCGCGCATTCGGTCGCCATCACCGACCTCCTCCCCCTCACCACCGCCCGAAAGCGCCGGCGCCCAAGCTCGGCCTGTGTCTCGACGTCCCCGATCAGCGTCGCCGCCGTCCCCTTGCCCTAGCCATCACCTCCCCTCCTCCTCTCCAGCGCCCGAGATCACCGCAGCTGAGCGTCGCCGCCGGGTCATCGCCGTCTACTCGTCCTCGCCATCGAGCTCACCCCTCGTCATCAGCCACGCCTCCGACGGCATTCGAGCTCAGCCCTCAGGTTCATCGCCGCCTCCGGAGATCGATCAAGCCCTCGACGTCATCCTCGCCATCACCTCCCCCCTCCTCTCCACCTCACGAAATCGCCGCAGCCTGCGCTTGCCGTCCCCGCTCAGTGTTGCCGCCGGCTCATCGCACTTCGCCGCTGTCGAGCTCGCCTCCACCGAGGTAAGGCATCAGGTCTAAATTAACGTGTTAGTTCTAACTGAAATGCATGTTAGCTAGCTCTAAATTAACGTGTTAGTTTTAACTGAAATGCATGTTAATGCTACCGGGATGCATGTTAGCTCTAATGGAGATGATGTTAGTTCTATTACGAGGCATGTTAGTTCTAGTTGGCGTTCCTGTTAGATCTAGTGGATTTCATGATGGTTCTAGGTTCTATCTTCCCTCATGCATATTCCTTGGATCTATCTTCTTCCTTTTAATTTCAGCTCATACATTACTTGGTTTGCAGCACTCACTCTATGGCTACGAGCCGGATAATTTAGAGCTATTTTTGCCATGTATTGTTAAATTGGATATAAACTTTAAATTTGGTTTAAACTATCGTTTAGAAATTGTTTAGTGAAATTGAAAGATCAACTTGATGACGTTTTTTGAGCGATTTTGAACTTCTTATATGTGATAATTTGATAGCTTGTATAGACACTCCACCAATTCTCTCACGTGAGGCAACAATGGAAGAAGATAAAGGCCAGGACCATGATCTACTATCTACAACATGGCTTCCCCCTCAAGTGATAATATCTTATTGTTTATAGTGTACTACTAACTAATGACATATACCAAAATAGTTGTCTTTTAGCATGAGTTTTGTTTCTCTATTTTTATAGGCATCCGAGCATGAGGAGAATGGTGATGAGCTTATGGGCGTTGAAAATGGTGAAGATAATTTAAACAGCGTTGATCCATATATCGGAATGGAGTTCTCTACTCATGAGGAAGCTTATAATTTCTACAATGCATACGCCAGACTTAAGGGATTTGGTGTTCGCAAGGGTCACACAACTTGGTCAAGAAAGAAAGATGCAATCCTATCTAGAATATTTGTATGTGACAAAGAAGGCTTTAAATCTTTAAAAGATAAAAGAGAAGATGGTCGGATTATAATTCGAAAGTTCGATACAAGATGTGGATGCAACGTAAGGATGATTATTAGACTTGATAGAAGCACTGAAAAATGGGTGGTCCGAAAGTTAAACAGTAAGCATAATGGTCATCCATTAACCACCCCAACTCGGGTAAAGAAGCACTACTCACATCGGACACTTCATCGAGCTCAATCGACAAAAAGGTTGATAGATACTCTTGACAATCAAGGTTTACGGCCTTCTGCCATTTGTAAGGTTGTAGACGTTGCTCATGGCAATGAACAAGGCTCTCTCACTCAACAAGAATGCCAAGCACAACTTAGACTTAAACGAAGAAACAACGTCGGCCATGAGTGCGTGAACATAGTTCGTCAATTTCAAGAGAAAAAGGTATCTGATCCTCAATTTTACTTCGCACTTGATTTAGAAAATGATGGGACGATGAGAAGTGTTTTTTGGATGGATGGTAGGTCGAGGACTTCTTACTTGCAATTTGGAGATGTTGTTTGCTTTGATGTTACATATAGAACGAACAATTTAAAATTGCCGTTTGCACCATTTACGGGCGTTAACCATCATCGACAGTCTACTCTATTTGGGTGTGCGTTATTGGCCGATGAAACGGAGGAGACGTTTATATGGTTATTTAGCCAATAGTTAAAATGTATGTCGGGTATAACACCAGTAACAATCATCACTGATCAAGATAAAGCTATGTGTGGTGCTATACACAAAGTTTTTCCTAAAACTCGCCATCGCTTTTGTTCTTGGCACCTTCGTAGGAATGCCTTACAAAATCTTCAATCAATGCATAATGATTATGGTGAGGATGTTTCTATAAAGTATAACAAATGGTATTGGAGTAAATCGGAAGAAAAATTTGAAAAGCGTTGGGAAGAAATGAGGGACAAATATGGTGCAGATAAAAGGAGTTGGTTAGTAAATTTATACAATCATCAAGATCATTGGGCTCCAGTGTATCTTAAAGACACTTTTACTGCAGGAATGACATCTACTCAGCGGAGTGAGGGAATTAATGCTTTTTTTGATCATTTTGTGAATGTAAATACCGAGTTACATGATTTTGTTAAGCAGTATGATAATGTTGTCAGAGCTCGCTGAGCCGCTGAACTTGAGCAAGATTTTAAGTCTACAAACTTAGTTCCTACATTGATAATTGAACATCCCATTGAAAAACAAGCTCGGGAGAACTATACGAAGAATCTGTTTACTATCTTTCAGAAAGAACTCAAGGATAGTTCCATGCTTCATGAAAAGTTGTCGAAGGACGGCGCAAGTGCTACTTATGCCGTTTGGAATATAAATAGCGAGGCTGAAAGCAAGAAGATAGTAAAGCATCATGTTGTTTTTGATACATCCAAAGAAAAAAGAATTAAGTGCTCTAGTGCGAGATTTGAGATAGAAGGTATATTATGCAAACATAGCTTGCACATTTTAGTAAAGAAGCAAGTATTAGAAATTCCATCAAGATATATCATGCAACGATGGACAATTAAAGCAAGACATGTTGGTTGCGGAGTTGTTAGAAATTGCATTACAAATAGTGATGACCAACTATCTATCATTAAACATTGGGCCCTTAGGAGTAGATGTAACAAGGCACTAGAAGATACATTGACTTCAAGTACACTTCATGATAAGTTTAGTGCTTTTTTAGACTCATTTTTTGAAGAAGTTGAGAATTCCAAGATTGAGAAGGAACATAACGACAATGGAAATGAGAGCAATGCCAGCAATAAGATGCCTACTTCATCCATACCCATCTCTATAGAGGAAGCAACTCAAATCACTATTCGTGATCCAGATAAGCCTGTTGCCACGAAGGGACGACCAGCACATGCTACTAGAATTAAGTCGGGAGTGGAGATAGCACAAGAAAAGAGTATAAAAAAACAAAGATTTTGTGGGTTTTGTAAGGGAAAAGGACATTATATAACGAGTTATCCTTTAGCTAAGGTATTATACTCAATCTTGATTTAATATTTTTCAATGTCTTTGCATTTGTCATGATAAAGTTGCAATTTTTTTTTGTAGAACAAAAATGTTGCTGGTGGAGGTCGAGAAAGTTAACGGCATCGCCAAAACAAAGTTTACGGAGGGCCAAAACAAAGCATGTGTTTCGGTTGAATGTTCACAATTTATTTTTTCACTTTTCCCTTAAGATTTATGTATGTATGGATGATAATGTGGTTGTATGGATTAATCATGTATGGATGATAATTTGAATTAATTTTTTTCCCCAGAACAATGAGGAACAAAACAGTATTAAGTGGGTACAAAACGAGCAATTAGTGGGTACAAAACTTGAATAAGTGGGTACAAAAATAAAATCATGGCATTATTAGGTACAAAGCTTGGTTAAGTTGGTACAAAACTTTCTTAAGTGGGTACAAAGCTTGATTAAGTGGGTACAATATTTGAATACAGAGCAAAGAGGTACAAAATGGTGCCTAAGTAGGTACAAAACGTGTATAAATGGGTACAAAACTTGAAATATTAATAATGTTAATATTATGTTATGACTAGTATGTTATTAATAAATTAATATATTATAAATATTTTAATATTATGTAATATATTATGGTCTTTAATAGGGCTGAGTTTAGTAATAGTAATTTAATAATATATTAATAATTTACGATATATATAAATAGGTATTATGAATATATTATTTTTACATTAACATATTTTAGCAATAAATTATGTTAGATATTACATTAACATATTAACTCTATATTAATTACATTTAATATATTATGTTAGATATTATATTAACACATTCTCAAACTCAAAACCAAAACACCAAAATTAAAACTTATTTTAGGTGTTTAGAAAAAGTGTTGCGTTTTTGGGTTGAAGACGATTTAGCTCAAAAAACACCATGGTATCCATACGGGAGCCTAAGTCATTTGTTTTACTGGTTTTGTTAGTTCTAGCTTAGATGTTGTTAGTTCTATCATCTGCCGTGTTAAGTCTAACTGCATTCATGTTAGTTCTATCGCCAGCTAGCGCTAGTTATAGTTAAAGTATTGGTTCTATCGTCTTTGTTAGTTCAAGCTTAGTTGTTGTAAGTTCTCGCTTCTCCAGTAATAGATCTAGCTGTTCTCGTGTTATTTCCACCTCCATATAACTTTAAGTTCTAGTTTAAGTGTTGGATCTATTGTACTTAATGAGTTATATTTTATTATAATTATTACATATTATTTTCAAATAATTATTTATTTAATAATTTTGGTATATCAAATTGTTATGGTTATATATTATATTATATTTTTAAAATAACAGTTCTATCGTCTTTGTTAGTTCAAGCTTAGTTGTTGTAAGTTCTCGCTTCTCCAGTAATAGTTCTAGCTATTCTCGTGTTATTTCCAGCTCCATATAACTTTAAGTTCTAGTTTAAGTGTTGGATCTATTGAATATGTTCGTTCTACCAGGGTTAATGTTCGTTCTAGCCGTTTTCGTGTTAGTTCTAGCATATTTCGTGTTAGCTAACGCAAGGTCTAGTTTAAATGTGGGTTCTAATGCCTATGTGTTAGTTCTAGCATATTTCGTGTTAGCTAACGCAAGGTCTAGTTTAAATGTGGGTTCTAATGCCTATGTTAGTTCTATCTGTGTTCTAATGCCTATGTTAGTTATAGTTGTGTTCTTGGGAACAAGCGAAGTTAGAGATAGCAAGAAATGAGGTAGAACTAACGCGGTTTAAACAAAAGCTAACACTTACTGTATTATAACTAACACGAAGCTAGAAATAACAATAAATGGGAAAGAACAAACGGGGTATCGACTAGAACTAACACTTACTCTATTAAAACTAACCAGAATCGTGTTAGAACTAACAGAACCACGAAGTAGTCCAATAGAACTGACAGTAGGACAGCTAGAACTAACATGGGTAATAGAACAATATAGACTAAGCTGGAACTAACAATAAGGTAGAACTAACACGAGCTAAACTACAGCTAACACTTACAATTTTATAACTAACACGAATCTATAAATAGCAATGAGGTACAAAACGTTGCCCAAGTGTTTGTCAATTCTCCATGTTAGTTCTAATTGCTAAAGTTGTAGGACTCTTCAACAGCTTTTCAACAAATCTTAAATCACCTCATTCCGAGTTCGGGCGGAGAAATTACAGTGAAAACAACAATTAGAACTAACATGGTGTAGATTAGAACTAACATGGTATAAGTTAGAACCGACATAAGTTAGAACCAACAAGACATAAGTTAGAACTAACATGGCATAACTTAGAACTAACATGGCACAAACTGGTCATTTTCTATCTGATTCCGCTCGAATCTGGGCAATAGAAGAATATAGACTAAGCTGGAACTAACAATACAAACCAAGATCTAAACTTGTGAACAAGTCCATAAGCCTAACAATACAAAGACTAAACAACAGATAGCTTCACAACAACAGTAGAATTAAATGCAAACAACAGATAAGCATAACAACAAACATATTAGATTTGACAACAGAGCGCTAAACTACGCAACCAGTCCATAAGCTTGACAACAGAGTGCTAAACTTCGCAATAAATCGGAGACGTTGAAAACCAAAACATAACCTTGACAATCCATCCATAAGCTTGACAATACAACGCCAAACATAACAATACAATCAGTCCATAATCTTTACAATAAAACGTGATGACTTAACAAAACAACCTTGTATTAAAGTAATGTCAACTGCATGTACAATCTGTGTCTTTGCTAGCATGGAATACGATCAATTTAGACGGGTCAATACGTGAATCACCTAGGAAGGCATGCGAATGCTAGCAAAAAGATAGTCCTCTGGCTTACGTTAACACTGTATAGCTATAGAGTGTTAACGTATGCCAGAGGACAATTCTCTCCAGCATTTGCATGCCTCCCCATGTGATTCACGCATGACCCATCTGAATTGATCGTATTCCATGCGCTTATGAATCTTAACTGGGCGTTAATGTACAAACTCTTTGAAGGGAGCCAGGTATATTCACCCACTGATGGAACTAAGAGCAAAGACAATGGGGATAACATCTTCATCAGCGTGAGGGATATCCAAGATCCACATCAGCGTGCGTCCCAGGCAGGCCATGACCTTCATCGGATGTACATGAACTAGCCATGATTTTACAATGCCATATATACAGGGGAACTTGAAGGTGTAGGGGATAGGGTAAAAGTATGGGGTTTACAAATAAATGAGGAAGAGTCTACAAAGAGCCGGTGATGGGGAGATCCGAAAAAGATTGCGCCGAAAAGGTAATCAATCCTATCTTGCGGTTGAACAGGCTTTGGGGATGGTGATGTTGCCGCGTGGGATGTGGGGATAGGTTCCGGACCAGGTTATCTTAACTCTCCTCCTTGGGACTGCACTTTTGCAAGGTGAGTTAACTCTTCAACCTTGGGAACTATGCAAAAACAATTAATGCAGTCAAACCTATAATATCTCGGTAACCTTCACAGCCAAGTGCAAGTGAATAATGTTAGTTTAAGTGTTGGATCTATTGAATATGTTAGTTCTACATGGGTTAATGTTCGTTCTAGCCGTTTCCGTGTTAGTTCTAGCCATTCTCGTGTTAGATAACACGCAAGGTCTAGTTTAAATGTGGGTTCTAATGCCTATGTTAGTTCTAGTTGTGTTCTAATGACTATGTTAGTTCTAGATTAAATGTGATAGTTCTAGCTGATCTCGTGTTATTTCCACCTCCAGATAACTTTAAGTTCTAGTTTAAGTTTTGGTTCTATTGGATATGTAAGTTCTAGCTGCCCTCCTGAATAGTTCTACCCCTTCTCGAGTTAGTTCTACTCACAAGTGTTTGTTCACGCGGCCATGTTAGCCCTAGCCCACTCCTAGTTAGTACGCGAGCTTCCCTCCTATTAGTTCTAGCCCATCTCGAGTTAGTTCTACTTCGTGCTGGCTTCATTTCTAGCACAAGTGTTTGTTCTATTGCCCATGTTAGGCCTAGATCACTTCTTATTAGTTCTAGCTGTCCTACTATTAGTTCTACAATATCTCGAGTTAGTTCTACTTCGTGCTGGCGTTATTTCTAGCACAAGTGTGTGTTCTGTTGGCCATGTTAGCCCTACCTCACTTCTTGTTAGTTCTAGCTACCCTCCTGTTAGTTCTATCCCTTCTCGAGTTAGTTCTACTGCGGGCTGGCGTTATTTCTAGCATAAGTGTTTGTTTTGGTGGCCATGTTAGCCCTACCCCATAGCTTGTTAGTTCTAGCAGCCCTCCTGTTAGTTCTATCCCTTCTCGAGTTAGTTCTACTGCGGGCTGGCGTTATTTTTAGCACAAATGTTTGTTTTGGTGGCCATGTTAGCCCTACCTCATGATTGTTAGTTTTAGCTGCCCTCCTGTTAGTTCTATCCCTTCTCGAGTTAGTTCTACTGCGGGCTGGCATTATTTCTAGCACAAGTGTTTGCTCTGGTGGCCATGTTAGCCCTACCTCACTGCTTGTTAGTTCTAGCTGCCCTCCTGTTAGTTCTATCCCTTCTCGAGTTAGTTCTACTGCGGGCTGGCGTTATTTCTAGCACAAGTGTTTGTTCTGGTGTCCATGTTAGCCCTACCACACGCTTGTTAGTTCTAGCTGCCCTCCTGTTAGTTCTATCCCTTCTCGAGTTAGTTCTACTGTGGGCTGGCGTTATTTCTAGCACAAGTGTTTGTTCTGGTGTCCATGTTAGCCCTACCACACGCTTGTTAGTTCTAGCTGCCCTCCTGTTAGTTCTATCCCTTCTCGAGTTAGTTCTACTGTGGGCTGGCGTTATTTCTAGCACAAGTGTTTGCTCTGGTGGCTATGTTAGCCCTAGTTCACTTCTCATTTAACATGAAAATACTTACAACACACAACAACAACGTAGTTGTCTGTAAATGTACACGCAAAACAATTAACAACATATTAACAACATGAACATACATACAACATTGAATACACAACAAAAACCTTGGAGAAAATTTAAATAATATTTACAAAAAAGGTGAATCGCGTGCATACAAAAGAGCAACACAAAACTTTGCTCTATATTTTGCACAATCTCCTTTTGAAATTGTTATCGACCGTTTTTCGACAATGCTGTTAATGAATTCAATCATAAAGATCCCGCAATCTAACATTCTGCATTTAGGGGAAAAATATTACAATATTGAAAATGAAATTAGAAATGCATGAAACACTTACGGTCCTTGTTGTGGCACGACAATTGACACAAGACCATGATGCTCCGATTTCCCCAATCCCCAATTACTATCAATGAAACTCATAAACTTATTTCTAAATTTCACAGCATCGGCGATATAAATGGGGGAGTTGATTAAGGAGTAGTGATAGAATTTTTTCTCCTCTCTCACTAACTCTACCAGGTGCCAATGTCCGGAGCTGACAATCGGGATCAGAATTCTTTTACAGTCCAAGAACTTCTGCTGAGAAACATTTTCCTTCATTCGTTTTGCCACCATTTCAAGATTTCCTTCTAGAAATGCTTGCTAAAAGATGCAATAATGTCAACATTGTGGGATAACATAATAATAATATTCACCAATTAGTGAAAAAAACAAGGATATACTTACTCCAAGCCAAGGTCTTGTGACATGTATCTTTCGATCATAACTATTAGTTGTTTCAATCTTGTTACAAAGCCGAATAACAAATGCATCGATCACCTACAAAATTTACCATGAATGAATAAAATAGTTAATATAAATTATTTTATATACAACATCAAACAATCAATAACACAATTGTTTAGAACCTACATCGTCACTGAGTTCACCTCCCGTTAATAGTATATAAGCATCTAAGCGAGATACGCTTGCTTCGGCACACTTCCAAATGTACGTATCACTATATGCAAGTACATTGTGAGAAAATTGCTACTAGAATTAAGTAAATTCAAAGATTATTATTAGAATAAGTCAGTAACAGTTACCTGTTCATTCTCGATTGTAGAAAGTCTTCAATTAATTTGTTCTCATAATCAAACGCCAGTGCCTTACCTGGATAGTCTCTAGATGTAGGTATGAAGCCTTCTTCATTTTTGTACTTTTTTTTCCCATCAGGACTATCCAATATCTGGATGACACGTCTCTTCTTTGTGCCTTCCTTTGGTTGATCTAGAGGCATATAAGGTGAAGTAACAGAGGGTCCATCCTTCCTCTCCCTCTTTCCGACAGCCCGTTTGATAGATGGCGTTTCTCTGTTATTCTCATTACCACCTTCATCTTTTTGAGAAACATCTCTATAGAGTCGAGAAGGCATATAATTAACAAAGAGTTACACAAGAATTATATGGAAAATATAAAAATTAAAATTGCAAGAAAATTTAAAAAACTAAACTCACCGAGCATCTTCTAAAATTCTCACGTCTCTTGCGCTCATCACAAAGTCATCACATAAATCGGCTTCCCCAGTTCCTTCCAAATTCTCATATTCCTTAGCTTCCATATCCTCTTTGATTTTTTTTCTTCAGTTACATTTCCGTCATCCTCTTTCTCCTTGGTTTTTTTTGGCATCTAGCACTACGCTCTTCTAATTCTCGTAATTCTGTAGTGAGCTCATTCAACTCGTACGTCTTCTCCGCAATTAAGAAAATTAATTCAGCTTTCCTTGATTCCTATTTGACCAAAAAAAGCTAGTATTAGTACGTATACTATAGTTGCAAACATAGATACTAACAAAAGGGACATAAAATAATGAACTATTAGAGCAACGATATGTACAAATACTATTGGCGATGCCGTATGAATAAGAGGAGTATTCTCTTGGCCATTATCCGTAACCAACTTCAGGACTCTATATAATTTGTTCATAGTAGTCCTCCTCCACTTTCTAGTACTCTTCACATAAAAGAGCAGCGGTAACCTTTCAACATCTGAAGTATAATCTAATTCCCCTACTTTTTCATAAAACCAAACCTACAAAAAAGAAACTACACATTAGCATGTGCATAAACAATAATCATTATCAAAATGAAAAGATATACAAAATAATGTTCATGTAACTCACCAGTAAAACGGAGGAAAAACCACCCATGTACCCGGCATTTGAGCGCTGACCTAATTCCCGCATACTAAGAGACTTCTTTGATTTACTCATCTCTTTGCAAAGAAGAGTGAACACCGCATGGCACCAATTATATTTATGCAAAGTTGATAACTGCGCCGCATATCTAAATGCCCACAAGGGACATGTCTTACATGTCCGCGGGCATAATATGAAGCCGATAATGAAAGCCACAATAAGTTTCACACATATTATAGGGTCTTCATTAATCATATCTACAATCATCTCGGCCATTCTATCACGCATCCCCGAAATCACCGCCTTCTTTTCCTCATCGGCTTTCTTATAATTCTTTACAAAATAGGTGTAGATTGTATTAGTCGCTGCCCCACTCATTTTTATCGGAATTCCCTCCTTTGGTAATCCGGTAATTCGGTGAATATCATCAATACCGAATACACAATTTGTATTCCCAATCATGAATGAGCATTTATCGGGATTAAAATTTTGAATCAAGCAATCAATTGCTATTTGCTCATTGCTCAAGGATGTGGGTATATTGAGAAAGTTGTGAAAAGGTGTCGTCTGTAGGGCTTTTATGTGTCTTTCATCTAATTGGCTTATCAATTAAATCTCGAAAATAACACAAATTGGCCGGAATTCTCAAGTGTGTTATCTTAGCCCTACAAGAAAATTATAATTCAAAAAGAGTTAAAAATTAAATATATTTGGGCAAATTAAGACGCATATTAATAAGTTTATTAACACAAACATTATACATCATGACTTACAACAAAATTATAATTCAGAAAGAGTTAAAAATTAAATATATTTGGGCAAATTAAGACGCATATTAACAAGTTTATTAACACAAACATTATACATCATGGCTTACAACACCACCGCATATGACAGGGGCACTCTGATAAAATATCATAATTTCATCATTAGATTGACAGACAAAGTTTCATACGGGGTTTCTATATCTAACCAAACAACTATATAATGCATAGCCGATTTGGGGAAGGGGAGAAACACATGCAAGGGGATATATCTAATCAAGCAATGACTTGTTGACACAGACATCAGTAGGCGTCGGCAGCAATTTCAACTTCCGACGCATATTAACACAAACATTTGAACTTCTTCAAAAAAATTACTTACGAAGTTGGAGGATTATTGCATTTAGAAGAGGTAGGCTTTGATTTTGAAGAATTCGAAGATGTCGATGCTTTCAGTTTGTTCGAAGCCATGAGAGCTGACGTCGAGGGCTTGGTCGAGCTCCAGAGGCGACGATGAACCTGAGGGCTGAACTCGAATGTCGTCGGAGGTGTGGCTGATGACGAGGGCTGAGCTCGATGGCGGCGACGCTGAACGAGGACGTCGAGGGCTTGGCCGAGCTTGGGCGGCGGTGCTTTCGGGCGGTGGTGAGTAGGAGGGGGGCGGTGATGGCGACCGAATGAGCCGGCGGCGACGCTGATCGGGGGCGGCGAGCTCCGGCGGCGATTTCGGACGCTGGAGAGGAGGAGGCGGGAGGTGATCTGAGCGGGAGAGATGAGAGAAGGGTAGGGATTTTAGGGGGATGGGATTTTCAACGAAGGGCTCAGATCTCTATATTGGGTTTATAATAAACCGCCCAGATCGCGCATCCTCAGAGCAAGCCTACGGAGTCACCACAGATTCACTTTTTCCTATATATATATATATATATTTGAAATTGTTATTAAAATGTTTTTTTCTTTTCTTTTCTTTCTTTTTCTGTAGATGCCCCCCAGAAAGAAATCCCGATCAAGTTTATCATCTTCTGATCCATTTGATACCGACATAGATAGACCTACTATTTTAGCCAGAATTGTGGGTCTTAATATACTTTTTGAGAGGGGTTTTCAGATGAGTGCATTACATACATATCAATCCACAATCACCATGTTAACTGCAGTAGGTCTTAGGAGCATGATGACTAAACCCCTAATAAAAGCAAACATTTCATTAGTCCATGAGTTCTATTCTGGATGGGAAATTGATCCAGATAGAAAATTTGTAGCTTTTTCTATAGTGATGGGTGTTAGGATTATTTTCGATCTTTTCACAATCCGTGCTATCCTTAATCTTGCATGTGACGCCCCTGGGTTCACACAAGGCTGCAGTCCAAGGTAAAACCAAGAATGTCAAGCCTGTCATGCACCACACCCTGCAATAACATGTTTCACCATCACAAATTACTATCTTTCTAGTAGAGTCAATAAAAGGTGTAGGTACAAAAGCAGGTAAAAGATAATATAGAAATCAACAGATAAAATAATAGAGATCAAATTGATATCCCATCATCTAGCATACTGAAGTACAAGTCAATATCTGAAATAAATAAACTAAGGTACTCAACAAGTCTCAAATACAAGAATTATCTGACAAGAGGAAAATAAGGCACACAGCCTTTACAACTTCTAGAATAAAACCCTCAAAAGTCTAAACAAAGTCTACAGTGCAGCTCAAAAGAAAAATATAACTAAATAGACAGCTGAAGCTAAAATGCATCACCATCAACTTGTGACTCTCCGGGCTCCTGGCTCATTACCTGAAAGGGGGAGGGACAACGAGCGTCAAAGCGCTAGCGAGCAACATCATAACCAACACCAAGGGATAGGGCTCATTGTATAGGAAAAATACAATTAACACATAATAATTTAAATTCATTTATCCTAACAATAATGGGTTTTAGTACTTAGGAAATTACAACACAAGCATATGTACGTTGAGCGAAATAATCCAAACAAGGAAACCCTTATGTATATATCTTGTATCTCAAATTGTAAGTCCCTAAGTACCAAACCCGGAGTCTAATACATGAACAATAAAGAAAAGAAAATGAACCCATCTCTACCGATAAACAAAGTCATGTCAAAGCCACAATAAGTGGCACATCCCGCCTAGGTAGCTATCATGTCCCAACTTTATAAATATGTCGTGCTCCAAACTCGGTTATGTATCATACTCAAGGTTTAGCAAATGTCCAACACATGGACTAAATGATATGCATGTCCAACACATGGACTAAAATGATAAGTGTCTAACACATGGACTAATAGTAATGTGTGTCCAACACATGGACTATAAGTAAAGAGGTGCAACTGTCAATGGTATATACGGAAAGATATACATATCCTAAACTCGCACGCATCTCGATGTTCAGGTCTAAACTTGTGTCAAAAGTCAACTCTCATGTACAGAAAAATTACTAACGTCGTAAACTAGTGTCAAACAATTGAGGTGATCCCGAAAAACAAACTCAAACAGATCAAGAATCGGTAAAACACCTCATCAGTCGACTCATGTGTCGACTGATGAAATCAGTCGACTCATTGGTCGACTGAGAAACTGAGAAAAACAAAATCAGCCCGTCAGTCGACTGATCAGTCGACTAATAGCTAAAAAAACTTCAGCCTATCGGTCGACTGATCAGTCGACCGAACGGCTACAGAAAACCTGTTTGCAATTGATTATTTGCAAAACTATTTATCTAAAGTCATCATCATAAGCCCCAAACATAAAGATACTGATTTTAACATATATGTACTAAACTAAAACAAAATTTCACATGTAAATACATAAACAAAACCCTAAACATATGCATTCATGCTTTAAAAACATTTTGAAAACAAAACTCATGTTTAATCTCTCATTTAAAACATTACAGATCTAGATCTTTAATTCACAAAACATTGGTGAGTTTTCTTAGCATTCTGAAATTCATATCTTCACCTAATGCTATAAAAATCAAACCTTTGTACACAAAAAAATACATTTTTGGCTCATCAAATTCCATAAAAAAATTATTTGAAAAGTTTAGAAATATGGGACAAGGTTGGGCGAGATGTTACTCGCCTCAGGGATGATGAAAAGCTCCTGGATCTGCGAGAGAGTATGATTCCCCTTTGCTGTAACGTTCGATACCCGCTAAAATCCTTTGAAACGCCCCAAAATCACCAAGAACGAATCTAAGGTTTGAGAAAGGAGAGAGGGGGCTAGGGTTTCTCAGATCTTATGATGAAAGGGGGTGTTTTCGGGTAGGAGAGATCATATATGAACAGCCAGACCCGACCCAAAACCCGAACCAATTAAAGCAGACCCGAAACCTGGAAAAACTAGAAAACAGCTCGTCAGTCGACTGATCGGTCGACTGAGCTCGTTAGTGTATGCATCAAAAATTACCTATAGGTCCCCGAATACAGCTCGAGACAAAGAGAAGGCGATAAGCGTCATCATTCAAGTCAGGAAAGGATTATCCGGTCCCATGGAAGCTAACGAATATACAAAGTGAGTCATTAGAGTGTACAAGTCAACGGAATGACGAAATGCGCAATACAAATCCGGAGAAGTCAGAAAGTGTCAAACACCTCAAAGTGGCCCACACAAAGGATTGACATTTTGACCATGATACAATTTGATACTGGAAAAATTTAAAAGACAAAAGTTGAAGGTCTCTTCGTCAGCTTTCTAACGCATCTTGAATCACATCATTCTGAGGTCAGATGAGTGAGTTAGGACCGCTATAATACCGCGTTACAGTAACAGCGTACTCGCGATACAGTAGATTGCTGCTACATTAGCCACGGGTCAGATTTCTGCTACAGTGCTACTGGTTGAATTTCTGCTACAGTGCCACAGGTCAGATTTCTACTATAGTACGTGGGTCGGGTTTGCTACAGTAATAGCAGGTCAGATTTGCTACAGTACCACGGGTCGGAATCGTCCGACCCACGCCCCCGCGAGACGGATCCGTCCGT